GGTGAAGCATAGTATGTGTGTATTTGGATATCACTAGAATCTACAGTTACTACCAGTTCCCACAGATGCTCTGGCACCAGCCGTGGTGCTCTACCGAGCCCATTCCAGGAGGTGTTTGTACAAGCGGCAGGCAGGCAAAGCAGGGGGGTTGCACTGGATGTGGCCTTGCAGCTATAATCTTAATCTCTGTCCATGGGGTGAGTCGTGAATCCCACAGTTCCCTAAATTACAGTTCTTCTCTGGCTCAACCTTGTTTCCTGACCTGAGGTCCAGTTCCCCGCTGGTCCCTGGGGCCTGTCCCCCAGCGATGGGCCTGGTTCACAGGGACAAACAATGAAGTGTCTCCATCCACCACGCTTCCCAGAAAAACTCCTGGTTCTGGATGTGTCACACCACACCCCACCCCATTCTGCCCTGTCTCCACCAGACCACTGACCCCTCTCAGCCCCTAAGTCTGGGGTGCTGGGGCTGTTGCCCTTACCCTGAGCTTTACCCAGCTTCACCTCCCTCATCTTCCTCACTGGCCCAGACAGCTAAAGTAACAGCTCATCTGAAGGCCCCCAGTACAAAAGTATTTCTTTTTCTAAAATGCATGCATCCTGATGCTTACCCCTTTGACAATTTTTTCCCTTAACATACCTTTCAATACATGCTAATATAATCTTCAATCCAGATAAATGTATTTTGCTGCTGAAGTTCGGGTGTGTTTCGTGAAGCTGCCATGTGATTTTGAGAGAAAGCGCAGACAAGAATCTTTTGCATTCACTTGATAGAATCTTGCAAATAACTGTTGGTGCCCTTTACCTTTCTGACTTCTTAGAGGACATCTAGGCAAAAGTGTGTCACTGGGTCCTAGTTTCGGTGTTCAGAAGTTGATCAAATACAAGTCAAGAAACAATACACATTGCCTCTTTCTTGGCATGCATGAATGATGGGTGTGAATTTGCATCAGGAGAAAGTGAATAGGAGGAGGTACACCAGGGCAGCTGGGGAGATCGAACAAGCCAGCCTAGGACGGGAGTGGAGCCTGTGCTAGAGGTTGTAAGAGTGAGGGTCTCTGCTGCCTCACTGACCCACTTGCAGGATGTGAATCCTGAAGCTGCAAAATTTTAGCTCAGACAAAGAAATCAATCTCTAATGCTTAATTGTATAAAATCTGTTTAAAGTGTAGGTCAAGATTGTATCTCCCCCTCAAAGAAAAAAGAAACTTTCTATATTTCTAAATATGTTCCCTCAGAAACATGGAACTGAAAGCTATTTTTTTAAATTGATCTGGCCCTTAGAAAACAATGGGGCTTTTTCTTTAATTTACCTAAGGAGCTGACATAAAAATCTATGGTTCTGCGCCGGAAAGATACATAAAATGTCAAAATAGAGGGCAGAAATACAAAACTGGAGATTTTTTGCTGCAACATCTTATGTATGGTGTCTGATTACAAGTGTTACAACATGGAGAAGTGAACCTTTGGACTGTGAAATCAATGCTAATTTTCTTACCCACTAGTCTAGAAGCCTTCTAAATGTCATATCATTCATTTGGTTGCTTTACCAGGAATCAGTGCATGTGGTTAGTGTGTGTGTGTATGTTTAGATTATTAATAGATTTTATTTTTAAAATAGTTTTAGATTTACAGAAATATTAAGCAGATAATGCAGAGAACTTCTGTATACTTCCTACTCAGCACCCAGTTTCTCCTATTATTATTATTAACTAGTCCATACTTTCAGTTACGTTTCTTTGTGTTCTATAGTTCTGTGGGTTTTAGCAAATTTATAATAACATATGTCTACTGTTACAGTAGGATAAGAGAGTAGTTTCCCTACCCTAAATATCCCATGTGCTCCACCTCTTCATCCCTCCTCACATCTCTGGGCAACCACTGATCTTTTTACTGTCTCCATGGTTTTGTCTTTTTCAGAATGTCATCTGGTTGGAGTCACATAGTATGTAGCCCTTTCAGATTGGTTTCTTTCATTAAGCAATAGGCAGTTAAAGTTCCTCCATTTCACTGTGACTTGATAGCTCATTTTTAGTATTCCGTTGTACCATAGTTTCTTTATTCATTCACCTATTGAAGGGCATCTTAGTTCTAGTTTGGGGCAACTATGAATAAAGCTGCTATAAATAGTGATCCACAGGTTTTTGTGTGGACATAAGTTTTTAACTCTTTTGGGTAAATACCGAGGAGAATGACTGCTGGATCATATGGTAGGCTTATGTTAAGTTTTATAAGAAACTGTCAGAAGGTATTCTAAAGTACCTACATCGTTTTGCATTCCTACCAGCAATGGATGAGAGTTCCTGTTGCCCCATATTCTCATCAGCATTTTGTATTATCAGTTTTAAAATTTTTAACCATGCTAACAGGTGTGTAGGAGTAGCTTATTGTGGGTTTTTTTAAATTATTGTTTTAATTAGCATTTCCCTAATGTCACATGAAACGGAGCATCTTTTCACGTGCTTATCTGCCATCAGTATATCTTTGGTGACTTTTGTCTGATCAGCTCTTTTGCTGTTTTTAAACTGAGTTGTTTGTTTTCTTATCTTTGAGTTCTCTGTACATTTTGGATACTAGTCCTCTATCAGATTTGTGTTTTACAAATATTTTCTCTTAGTATGTGGCTTGTCTTTTCATTCTCTAAGTAGTTGGAGTGTTTATGCTTTAAGAAGGAAGGGCTCTAAAAATACCATTTTACAACTAACCACAGGAAGCCATTTATATAAAGCAACAAATACATAACTGGAATTGGAAAAGTCAGCTAAGTGGATGTTTCCAACTGCCACAGGTTTCTAGCTCTGCCTTCCAGAGTGGGCCCTAATTATGTGGTCCCAAAGGAACATTTTTTGAGCAAAGCTGAGCAAGGACATCAGGAAGGGACCTGTTTCCCCAACTCAGCCACCATCTATAAGCCACCCCGCCACACACCACCCGCTGCTTTCCTTGTAGCCTTGGTCGCCTCAGACCTGAGAAGATCTGGGACTGAGGCAGTGGAGGAAGCAGCCCCACAGAGAAGGCAGATTTCTCAGGTTACCAGCAACTTCCTCCTCATTAAACGCGAGGAACTGATCTTCATTTCGTGTGACCTCCTCTCAGCATACAGCTAGCCTCCAAAAGAGCAGGGAGGCAGGCTCAGAATGGGCTGCCTCTCTCCTGAGCTCAAATGCTGCAGACTGGAGCATCCTTTATTTCTGCTGCCTGCCTCACTACTCATCTCCCCATACTTCTGTGTTACAGCTTTAGAGGCTGCTCTAAGCAGAAATTGAAATAAGCAGATAAGAGAATGGATATGGGGAAAAAAATAAAAACAATGAAACAAGTATTTTTTAAAAGAAACTGCTATATGCCAGAATCTGTGCTAGGCACTATATATACATATATATGTGTGTGTATGCATATATATATGTATGTATGTGTATATATATATATGTGTGTGTGTGATCCTATTTGATCCTTACAAGAAACTTATGAGATATTAAGTATCACTTCTGTGAGGAAACTAAGGCTCAGAGAAGTTAAGTAACTTCCCCAAGAACACACAGGTATTAACTAGTAGAGCTGGTGTTTGAACACAGGTCTCTGTGATTCCAAAGCACAGTGTAAAGTGTTATTTTTACTCATCCTTTATTTATGGCAAATGATACTGCTTTTTAAAGTTTTTAGTATTGACATAAGGATTCCTTTTAAAATACATTTACTTAAATAAAGTAAGTTAAGAGAAAAACATTGTGTAAAGAATACTACACATTTTACACAAGTATGAAGTGGTAATGGCAGCTAGAATGAATGAAGTTTGGCAAATAGGATCTCAAATATTTTGATAGCAGGACTTTCCAATCTAGCCTATCTTATATTTTGACTGCTAAGCACAAGGAAGAGAAGAAAACTTGAAAACTAAGTGGAATGTGAATTACTTTCCTGTGCTCTGATAGGTGGGTAATTTCATGTGTTACAATAAGGAAACCAAATGGACCCTTTCAAATTAAAAAAAAAACTATATGATTGTAAAATCCAGAGGAAAACCCCAGGTGAGGCCTATTCGAATAAAGGATGAAGTTTCCAAGGTATGCACAGAGAATGGCCAAGGGGAAGTAACTCTGTGAGTCAGGGCTCAAGACCCACAGGGGAGCCCTATGAGTTTGGGAGGCCCTGGATAGAAGGTGAAGGGGTTTACAAACCTGTCTGGAGGAAGAATGATCATCACCTTTCCAGTGATAGAAGGAAGATCTTTATGGAAAGGTCAGAGTGAAAATCACAAAGTCCAAAAAGAAGGTAGGAAAGTAACACTGAAGACTAAATAGCAGCTTAGCATGCCCAGTGCCTGGTGGCTTACACGCAAGACCTCATTTGTTTTTCACAACAATGTGGCAAGGAAGCTGTTACTAGTCACATTTCATAGATGAGAAGACTGAGACTGGGAGACGTTCAGTGACTTGCCCAGGGTCCAGTGGCTCAAGCCAGGATTTGACTTTGGACTGACCACCAGTTCCAAACCCAAGCTACTTCCCCTGTACCACATGTCCTTGCTTGGGTGGACCTCCTCCACCAAGACAACAGCAAGCAGTTTTCATTTTGTCACTTTTAATTCCTTCAGCCTTGCAGGGCACACAGCTATCCTCCCTCCGAGCAGGGAGGCAGGCGCAGAAGGGGCTGCCTCTCTCCTGAGCTCAAATGCTGCAGACTGGAGGTAGATAAATGCCTGAACATTGAGCAGAGGGCTTTGCAGGGCCTGATCAGGTCACGAAAAAAAAAAAAAAAGCCATGCATCTGGGGCAGGATTACCTACATGAAGCCTGTCTTTGCCTAAGCACCCGGTTTGGAAAAATCCACTCGGGATTCACATACCTTTCACACTTCCTCTTGTGACTTTTCCCCAGACTCAAGAATACCACCCACTTCCAGGAATAGCAGACCAAGGTAATACAAACATTCTAGGTTAGGACAATGAGGATTAGATTAAGATGATCTGAAAATAGGAGCTGTTCATTAGCTTCTGGCAGGATCCATGGAGAGGGACTCAGCAAATGAATGGGAAGGTGACAGGTGAGATTCCAGGTCTCTCTGCTGTCTCTGGTTGAGGACTGTCTCCTGCAGCTCTGTCAAGCCAGACACAGTGTCTGGCACATGGCTGCCCAGAAAAACATTTGCTGAACTCGGCTGACTCTACCTATGGACGTCTGTAATCAGTCGGGGAAGGTGTCTTAGCCATGTTTGTGGCTGAGCTGTCTTCTGGGGGTTTCCTCAGGGCTTTACAGTCACTGGCTCTCAGGAGCGCATTTGTAGTCATTCTCATCAGTGGAAATGCCCACCTGCCAGCAGAAGTTATCTGGAACCAGCGAGAACACTGCCCCTGTCTGTGGTGTTATTTCTCTCTAGTCAGTTCCCCTTTCTGCATCTGAGATCTGGCCTCAGCCCTGACGTTACTTCTTTCTCTACAAGGAGTGTTAGGAGGTATGGGGAGCTCACAAAGGCTCCTCTTCATTTATTCTTAAGACCTTGCTTCTGAGTTCCTTGGGAATGCCACTGGGCTTATACCTCTGGTCTCTGGGAGCTGCAGTGGATGGGCATTTGTGACAGGTATGTTCTTCTGAAGCTTGGATGCCTGGGGAGCGTGGTGTGGGATCAAGCTGCATCTGGGGCAGCTGCTCAGAGGTGGGGCTGACAGCCAACAAGGGAGAGGGTAAGAAGGGGCGTGGGGTACATGCTTAAAACCCTTGACCATCAGGCTTGACTCGCAGACTGGCTAGGTCAGAGGTGGGATGTTACCAAAATGTGTCTCTTCTAGGCAGTTCCCTCTACCTGTTTTGGTGAGCTAAGAGACACGAGAGGCAGGAAATAGAAGGTGCCACTTACCAAACAACCGGCACCCGCTCTTGGCCCTGGACTGCTGGGGGCTCCAGTTAGCTCTGCTCCAAGAGAAGCTGTCCAAGTATGCTGGCCCTGCCTGAGCCCCTTGCCCCAGTGGGGAGTCCAGAGGATGAGGGCAAAACGTACACCCTCTGCAGTGGCCTCTGCTTTCTTGTTTGGCATTTCACTTCTCCTGGCCAGAAACCTTTGCCCATTGCTTCTTCCCATCCAAGTGCCCCATCCCACTATTCGCCCCTCCTGGCACCAGAGACCAATAGCTCATTTGGAAAGAAATAGTCCTAGATCAAAAAAGAGCCCAGGTGGTAGTTTATCGTGTTCTGTATACCATGAACATATTTGCATTTGCAAATAGGCTTAAAATAGTGCCTCCACTAATAGTTATTTAAGGCTCTGGAGAGACACGTGAAAATAATTTTTGGCCAAGGGACCTTCCCACTCCTCTCAAATTGTAATAATTAAGGAGTTGACCTGTTCCTCTGACATGCAACTCAATCTCGGAACTCAGGCTCTGGACTAACATGAGTCTATTTAATTAAGTGCACAAATTCACAGTTCATATTTTATCTTCTGTTTGCTGCTGCAGATACCACTACCTATATTTACATGAGCTATCTTGTGTATAATGGAAGCTTTTATAAATCTCTGTTAATTTGTGTTTTCTAAATATATGTTTGAATGCTTACTATGTCCCAGGTACTGAGTTTTTAACAGGGAGCATATAAGACATGGCCCCTGTTCTCTAGAAGTTTCTAGCCTAATGGGAAAACAGTACTAATTAAATATTCACACAAAAATGACTGTACAGCAACAGTGCTTTGGAGAGAAGAAATTGGTTCTTCGCGACTGTGCTCACTGTTCAAACACTGTCTTTGAGTTTGATACTGTAGTTACTCTAATATCCCTGGGTAGCAGATGTCCCCTCATGGTGGAGGTAAGGATTGGATTTCACAGAGTGGCAGCTAGGTGGGAGGGGAAAGAACATCAAAGGTGAAAAGGTGAGCCAAGCTAGATTCTTTAGGAGAAATCAAGCTTCAAAGACCATGTTTCAAAAATCAGACAGAGGTGGGAGTTGAGTTTAGGGGCCTCAGGGCCAGGAGATTGAAGCTGTGAAGACACAGAACAGGGCAAACATGTCCAAAACAAGTGAGGAGAGCAGTGGAGAGGTTCCTGGGTAGCCGAGCAGAGTCCAGGTAAGTGTGGACACTTCACCTTTCATGGTCAGGCAGATAAGGGTATTTGGAGGTCAGGAAAGGTATGGCCCTAGGTTGAGCACGTAACCCTTTATTAGACCCTTAGCCTCGTCTCTAATCCAACATAGACACTTTCTGAACTGCACATCAGAGTATGCTTAGGCTGAGGTTTGGGAGAGAGACACCATTTTGAATATGTGTAGAAGAGAAGTGTGTCTTCGGCACTTTCCATCCCCCATCAAGGAAGGAAAAGTCCCATTCCCTGTTCTTCTCCCTCCTTTTGTGAATATGATTTCTTTCTGAGTTCCATTTCCTATTTAGATAAATTAACTTGAACTTAACTCTTCATAGCTAAAACAAAAGACCTTTCTCCTTTACAGCTAGCATTTGCATTTTAGCCGGGGCTTTCAAAAATGCCTTTACCCAAGGAATGAGTAATTTGGGAATTCCAAGCACCAGGGCAGGACTAGTACATGGAATGGGGAGAAGGGGATGTCCCTCAAGTTGTGCTCTTGAAACACTGGTTTTCTCTCTTTGACCATTATTCTGGTTCTGAGAGAATAGGAAGGGGCTCCCTTAGAGGGACAGGATTGGCATGGCTGCCTTTTAGTAAGTTCTATGGGTCTTTCTCATGGCAGGCAGAGCCCTTGACTGGACGTACACAGATTCAGAGAGAGGAACTTGTAAAACTTTGCATGATGCTTACCCATAGGAACTTTTTGGCAAAAGGGGAAAAATGGTTTCTAAAACCATTGGTAATTTGAAAAAGTAGTGGTCCTTGACTCAGAAAGGTCTGATTCTAGATATGTCTAGGAAAACTGGGCATAAATCTTGTACACACACTTGCTGTTGGGAGACCAGAAAAGCTAATTGCTATGGCCATGTTATGCCCCTTCTGCCAGGCCAGTGAGGGGAATGGACTCTTAATTTTTAATACGTTAGTTATCTACAATATTGGGGAGTGAATGAAAGCATCCCCCTGTTCCTTGTGAATCTGCATTGACATTTCTTCTTTGTACCTATGCATCTTTGATGCTGCTCCCCTCGTATCTGTGTGGAAACACAGCTCCCAAATGAGTGAGGAAAAGGACACCAAATGAGAAGAAGGCAGTGTTAGGTCAGAAAACTCTTCACAGATGGGGGCCCCAAGGGATTTGCTCCAAGAAGAGATTGGAAACCAAGACAGACATACGATCCAGCCTAAGCTAGAAGGCGATGTGGCTAGCGGGGGAGCTCAAGGAAACAGGACGGGTGACATGTATCCATAGCCAGTCATATTCTGTGTCCACCAGCTCCAGGAAGTATTCACGTTTCCATCAAGGCATCTCTCATGCTCATCTGTTTCATGTCATGCCCACTGCCCCCATGCTGGTTCAGCCTCTTCATCTTAGGTCTGAGCCTTTAATACTGGCTTTCTTGATCACCCTGATATCAGCCCTCACCTCCTTCTTCACGCCACTGACAGGCTTATTTTCTTTAAACTTTCATTTCATAGTCCTTCTGCTCCCACACTATTAATCTCAAACTCCCAATTTTCTATTAAATCAAATAGAAACTCCTTTTCTGACTGCCTAGGCCTTGTTAAGCTATCCTCCTCTACTTACAGAAACTCATTTCCCATTATTTGCCCAGAGTCAGCTTTTCTTCCTGTCCTATAAAAGGCCATGGTCATTCCCCCATGTTCATGTATCATTACAGATTATTGTATTTGATTGTGGCTCAGAAAGTTGCCAGAGACTGTTATACCAGTAAGAAACACTGAACACAGGGTTCTATGCCTCTGTTTTTGAACATGCATGTACACAAATGTGTGTATCAAGAATACGGATGACATATTTATCCAGTTAAACTCAATCAAACATTTAAAAGTGGTTCATCAGGAGGCAGTAGTTTTTTGAGATTGTATCTCTTGAGGATTGTATCTCTTTGGGTCTGTTTGAAGCGCTGTCATGGGAAGAATTGTTGGAAGCTTGTAAAAGCCTTTCAAGGACAGAGGCAGGTGGCCACCACATCAAGCCCTGGATTATTGCTGATCAACAATTGCTAAACTGAAAGGAACAGACATTCTCTGAGAAAGAGTCTGTTAGGCAGTGGCCTGGGCTGACAACTCTCTGGAGGGGGAGTATCGGAATGACTGGGCTTAGGTGGAGCACTGGGTAAAAGCCGCATGTGCTCTAAGAGAACTCGACTCTCTTCTGCAAGCCCTAGCATGCCTTGCTTACTTTGTTCCTGTCACCAGGGGACTGTTCTGAGACCAAATCTGACTATTTTAAGTCCTAGTTCAGATACCAGCACCTTCACCCCACCCTTCAACTAAACAATTGCTTGCTCTTCTCCATCTCTTCTCAAGCCCTGGACCACTTGTCAGCTCAGCAGACCCTCCACAGACCCTGGGATCCCCTAAATGCACCATACCATATATCATGCTAAAAATCAGAGGAACAGACTCTGAGGAGGGAGGGCAGGGGAAGGTGGCGTGTCCAGGTTTTCTCCCTTATTTTTCCTCTTTCCTGGGAATGTAGTAAGAAGCCTGAGAGTAAACTGAAAAGTTGTGGAGTTCAATCACTCCACCCAATTCATTAATCTCTCCTAAAATGTCTCCTTTGCATTATTACCCCACTTTTGTTTGAGCAATTCTGGTGATGAGGAGCTCATTAGCTCACAACAAAGTCCAGTCCCTGGTTGTAGCACTCTGTTCAAAGTTCTTCATTATCTGAAGCTGAGGTCTGGCTCCCTATACTTTCCAATTATTGAAACTACTAGCCCTTTAACAACAGTGCGTGTGTCTTCCCACGGGAGGGCCCTTAAATATTCGCAGACAGCCATCAGGTACTTGCAGGCTTCTCTTCTTCAAGTTCATTACCCTCAGGCCTTTTAACTGTTCCCCTTTTAACATACTTTCATTATTCCCTAGTGAATCCCTTAATAAATTCTAACTTGTCAGTGTCATTCAAGTATAACCACCTCACTGAACGTGATACCACAAGTGATGTGGTCTGATTAGCACAGAGACCACATTCTGCAGTAAGACTGAATTAACTTTTGATTAGCCGTGCCACGCTAATGTTTGTGTGATTTTTACAATCACTGTGGATAAGCTATTTCTCTCTTGTCTACTTATTCTACTTCACTTAAGTACAGATCTTTATGTCTATCCTGAGATTCAGCATGCTAGTATCAGACTCTTTGCAGGCTTTGTAAATATTAGTTCAGCTCACCACCTGACCAGTAGCTATCTGGCTTATTCTTGTGCACATTTTTATGCACATCTGCACATTTGAAAGCAGAAGTATGATTTCTGTGCCTTCATTCATAGTTTTACTAAATATGTGAAAATGAACAAGTGAAAAGCAGAGCCCCACAGCATCCACGGGGTATTAGTCTATTAAACAAGAATGATTCTTGACATTCACTTGTGGAGTGAATGAATGAATATATCTATCAATTAATACCTTGTCCTCATCCCCTATTTTTAATCCATCACCATATCCTCTTGATTATAATCCTAAATGTTGCTTG